AGACAGCCGGGCTCTCTGGCCATTTCCCTCCTGTACTGTCATTTGCCAACTGCCTCCCAGGAGCTACCGACCTGCCCTGACTGTTGTACAGTGTCTGAAACAGTTGTCTCAAATGCTTCGATAGTCTAGTTGTTTGTGTCAGGAGCAAAATTCCCTTAGTAGGTACTTAACCATGGGCAGAAAAAAAAAATTGTGATCACTAATTTTTTTTGTGTGATCACTAATTTTTAATAAAAAATTTTATATTCTTTGGTAAAAGCACAAATCTCAAAATTAAATTCTGATCAAGAGTAAACCATGGACAAAAGTTCTTTTGACCCACTATCCTTAAATATAAGTCAAGAGAATTTTTATCTTTGCCAGACATGGGGAATTCAGATAAAGCTTTCCATTTGAAGGAAATACCAAAGCAAGAAGTTGAATTTAAAGGTTTATTACACTTGAATCCCTCTTTTTGCTTCCAAGAGACTGCAGTTGCTCAGAGAGCAAGCAGCTTACTGTAGTCTTTGCGAGCTTTTATGAAATTCAGACCTAGGAAAATTAGCATTATTTAATACTCAGTCGTGCAAAAATGACATTGCATCCTGTTCTTGCTAAAAACTGGGATAAAATATTTCTTACCAGAAGGGATCATTAGCTCCTCATTTTCTACAGGCGGCATTCTTCTTTTGCTACCTCCTAAAAGAGCACATTTCCTCCTGCTAATGCTGAAGTATACACATGATGCTCTAAGGTGGTTTATTTGCAGGAAAACAATGTAGTAGTAGCAGCACTACTGGTGCTTGGTATTTTTTCTTATTATTATTTTAAAAATGAGGGGCCCTCCCTCCTGGTGCAGCAGGTTAAAGCACAGCACTAAGAAGCTAAAACCACTTCAGCATGATGAGTTCTATCCCCGGCCCTAGAGGTGACCCACAAGGCATGGCAGACCTCTCCTGACCCGCCCACTGCTCAGCATACTCTGTCAATCTGCCTGTTCTGCTCCCCACTCTGTCTCTGGTGAAGCCTCTCACCACCCCTGCACCTCTGGCCTGTATCCCAGTTCTATCTGCATAAATAAATCTTTTTTTAAAAAAAATGAGGCACAATAAATACATTCATTTGGAACCATGCTTCTGAGTGTTTACTCATTCTGAATTCAAATTGGGGATCAACACATTCTGGGACTGAAAGATGTTCTAAAGTTTCCTTTATGAAGAAATGAAGACTACATTAAAAATAGTTAACCAAAGAGTTTAGGATCACCTAGACAGAAGTGTTGCATTTGGTCTTGAAAGAATCAGGGCTGGTGTGGCAGACCTCTTCTGACCCACCCACTTTCTCCCTTCAGCAGTGTACTTCGTCAATCTACCTGTTCTGCTCCCCACTCTGTCTCTGGTGAAGCCTCTCACCACCCTGTACCTCTGGCTTGTACCACAGTTCTGTATGCATAAATAAATAAGTCTTAAAAAAAAGGAAAAGAAGGAATAAGAGGCTGTCTGACAAAGCAGCATAACATAAGTATCAGGCATAAACTCTAGTAGGTCTTGTTTATGGCACAGAGAAACAAGGAGAATATGGAGCTGCTCCCTCTCAGCTGGATGAATTACTGGCAGCTGCTATAAGAAAGATAAAGAAACCCACATCTGTTTAGAGTCCAATGTTATATGGATCCCTTGTGATAGTAAATAAATTCTTGAAGAGGCCCCACTTCTAAATCAAGAAAAGGATTAAGAATATCTGAAAACTGTTTTCTGTAGTTTCACAGGAACCAACTGTAGTTGTGTACACCATTTTTTAATGTAGTGAGTGTTCAGTAAATATTTGCTGACTGCTGAAGAGACTACACAAGGATTTGGAAAGACAGGTTCTGATGAGCTAGCACAAACTTTACCTATCCACTAACAGCTCCCAGTTTTGATTATAAACGGATCAGTGGGATAGTTTTTCTAAGCTAGCTTACTTAAAATTGAGTCCATATTGATTTTTGCCCACCAGTGCATTTATTCTATAAAGGAGATGGACTACTCCATGAAGTGCCTTTTGAATTCACGTAATTGAGATGGACGATCTCTAAGGTTACATACCACAGAAGCAGTGATTGGAGGAGTAAAAAAGGCACACAGGAAAGTGGTAAATCTGGGTTCTGTTTTCAACTTTGTAATCCACTATGCAATCCTTCTGCAGGCAATACAATTTCACTATTTTTAAAATAGTGGGTGTAGTAATACCTTACCTAGTTTTAGGATAGTGGAAATGATTAATGATGTAATAGAGTCCTAGGAAAAAAGTTCCAGTAGTTAAATATAGCTTTGATTTTAATGAAAGTATAGAGCATACCTATTCACTTTCTATAAACTCAAGAACCAGCACATGGTAAGTCGACCAGAAATATTTGTTGAATGAATAAGGAAAATATTAAGGCCTTCTCCTTTGCTAGCATCACTATAGAAACTATCTTAAAGATACGCAATACTTACTCTAGCCAAAAGACACAAAACCACTAATTTAAAAGGACACCTGCACCCCTCGTTTATTATGCAATATTTACAATAGGTAAGATATGGAAACAACACAAATGCCCAAAAATAGATCATTGGATCAAGAAGATGTGGCTTATGTACATAATGGAATACTATTTGGTAATCAAAAAAGATAAACTCATGCCATTTGCGCAACATGGATGGAACCAGAAGGGATCAAGCTCAGTGAAATAAGCCAGAAAGAAAAAGAAAAATACCAAATAGGTATTTTATAGGAAGAATAGAGAGGAACCAAATAAGGGATTAGTAAAAATATATAATAATAAATAACAATCACAATCACAACAAAACTAGTAAGCAACCATAACTAAGAGACATTCTTCAAGGGAGGGAGAGGAAAAAGATCAAAACAGAACAGAGAAGAGCACAAGGGACTATGGTGATAATGGTTCATGGTGGGAATTTTACAGGGAAAATACAACGATGCAAAAGATATAAATAAAAAAATAGATTGTAAAAAATGATATTCGATACATAATTGGAAAAACCCAAATATGAAGGTGGGAAGCAAATGTGAACAAAGGCTGTAGAGATTCTAAAGCTGAAAACTTTGCAACAATTTCATCTACTTTAATATTCTGTAGATAAGAAATTAACTTCATTTTTTTAAAAGGAGCTCTACCAGGAGTCCTTTGTCCTTCATCTTACCAAGATTAAATCTCAATAAAGAGTTAAACCATTCGTAGACCACCTCCTTCTGGATCAAGGTTTAGTGTAGAGCAGAACAGCTCCCTTGCTGGGACCTACTGGAAGTCAGTCCTTGACACAAGGGTTTGTAAAGGGTGAAAGCATAAGAAAAAAGTCTCAATAAAGACATTTTCAATCAATGGTTTGCTTAATATTTTCCTTGGAATATAGTTATAAGATGCCAATCCAAGAGTATGTAAAATATAAAAATAACCTACCTCTGGCACATGGCTCTTCTCTGGAGAATTCCAAGGTGTTAAGAAAATCTTACTTTAATAAATTATACTCTGCTTCCTCCAACCTATATTTCTAGAACATGACCTTTATTTGCTACTTAACAAAGCTTTTAAATTGTATCATAAAAGAATTTCAACTTTTCAAAAACAACATATTACATTATCCAAATTAGCCAAGGGCAGAAGAAACCCAGATGTCTATGGCTAGATGAGTGGATGAGCAAAATGTATATACTTACAATGAAATATTATTCAGCCTTACAAAAGAAGGAAAATCTGACACCTACCACGATTACGTTAAGTAAGTTACTCACAAAAGGATAAAGATTACATGACTCCACTAGCATGAGGTAACCAGTGTGGTCTAATAATACACAGAGACAACAAGTAGAATGGTAGTTGACAGGGACTTGGGAAAATGGGAAATGGGGAGCTTGTGTTTCATGGGAACAAAGTTTCAGTTTGGGAAGATGCAAAGGCCCTGGAGATGGATGGTAGTGATATTTCAGAACAAGGTGCATGTACTCATGCCACAGAACTGCATGCACTTACCTGGGAACTGATCACTGGTCTCACTCCCCTTACAAGCCAAACCCAATCTGAATCCTGTGGCCTCTATCTCTGAAAATGCTCCTTTGAGCACCATGGACATGGCCTTAGTTTTTGACTTGTGTTATTTCTCACCTCAGCTGCAAATCTCCTGTGTTTCCTTCCTCTCAGTCTCATTCTCTCAGTCATTTCCACTTACTTTAGAAAGATCTTTCTACAATTCAGATATCACATTACTTTCCTGCTTAAAATCCTTAAGCCAATTCCTACAGAATAAAATTTCTTTTTAATGGCCAAAAAACGGTCTTTTAGGACCTGATTCTCTTTCTTTTATGCTTTTATAAGAAAGACCCAGCCTCCTTCACAAACTCCAGCCATCCTGATGTCAGTTTCTTATTAGTCCAGGTTCTTTCATGCTTCTACACCATAGCGCATGCCCTAACTAGGATGTTCTCTCCTTTATCCATATGGATAACTCCTTATCAACTTAGAGCAAATAATTCGCAGGAGAACCTTCTCTAGTTCACTCTCCCAGTTCTCATAGTACTCTCAAACCATCCTGTACTTAGGAATAACTTTCTCTGTATTCACATCATTCCTTGAACTTACTGCACAGTATCTTGATATCCAAGAGCAAGGTCTCTGGAGCCAGATTGCCTGGCTCTGTAGCATTTACTGTGTGCCTGCCCAGTTACCTAACCCCTCTGAGCCTGAGTTCCATTAGTTATAAAGTGGGGATTACAGTATCTCCCACAGAAGTGTGGGGAAGATTAAATGAATTACTATGTAGAGCACTCAGCCCTATGCTTGGCTCTTAACAAGTGTCACTAATGACGGCAGTGGTGGTAGTAACAGTGGTGTTACGATTTCTGACACAGACAGATCATGCCTCAAGGTTAGTTGTTCCAAGGGTCTTGAATAGCATGCACTTAATTTCTATCAGAAAAAAATGAAGGACATTTGGGAGGAAGAAAGGAAGGCAAGGAAGCAATTTGGGAAGACTTACCACCATTCTTGCCCACAGTTCGGAAGCATCTCCAGAAGGCGCGTAAGAATGATGCCCTATTATGAGGGGTGGCTTGGATGAAGCTGAATTCTCGAAAGAGAATGTGAGTTCCCTGACACACGCTGTTAAAACTGCAAGAAGAAAAATCAAGAGATCTCATTAGGTAGATAGTTCCAGATGCCTGAAATCAGAATGGAAAGTCAAAATAAATAGAATCACTGTCAACATGAGAGAACATCTCCAAATTTTCTCCTAAAAACCTCTGAACTATATAGGTCAGACCAAGTCCTTCTGTGAAGAATTCTCTTCACATCACCACACCTCTCTGAAAGCTCATGGAATGCAATTCCTGTTAGCACTCCCCCTCCCACATATGGACACTAAGGAAGTCTTCATCAGTCACTGGAACAATGCAGAGGGAAATCTTTGCCTCTTTACTGGATGATACTGGCACTCAAATCTTCTAGGAGAATGTTTCTCTCTCATGTAGCACTTAGAATTATGTTCCCTTATTCTCTCTGTACGCTCCTTGATCCATACTAGCTTCCATAAGAATGATATAGCTTTCTGGGGGGTATCTGATGGTTCCAATTTGGGGTGGTGCTGTATGCCTCTCTTGACAACAACCTCAGAGGCAAATTCATGTGCCAAAGGATAGAAAAGGTTCCAAGTAGAACACTAATGGCAATCAGAAACAAGGGTAAAAGTGGCCCCTGAATGAGAGGATGAAGCAAAACCCCAGAGCCCAAGCACGTCATTGTTTGAGCTGAGCTGAGGAAGGGAAAAGGACTGCGGCCAGAGAGGCTGTTCAGGCCAGTGGGACCGAAGGGTGGAAATTCCACCAAAACTAGGCAATTACCCAATAGTCATCACTACCAGAGTCAGACTTCAGGTTCCAGAAAACTCCCAAGTTCCCTAACAAGTAAATCATGAGTGGAAAATGTGTTCACCTTTATGGAAAAGCAGGCATTAAGCTGAGTGTGGCAAGCAAAGGAGGGACAGTGGTTATTCTAAATACCTGTTTTCATCTGTTGATCTTTTAATAGGGGGAAAAATCTGAACTGCTAAACTGAAATGGGAAAATTTCAGAAGCCATCTATGCCATTTTCCTTTTCCCCTTCTGACCAAATTCCAAAGGAAGCACCTGAGTGGCCGCTAACAGAATGTGTTACTACTTAGGATAAAAAGTAGGTGCCTCTTGTTAACATTAACAACGCTGTATGAAAAGCAAATTATGTATTCTTCTTTCCTCATGGAAAACAAACGTAGAAATATACTTTTATATTTCCTCTTTCATACTTCAAGAGGAAGTATGAAGACAGTATCTGACACAGGATTAGGTTAGAGATTTTTCTAAAAGGCAATAAAAGTGTTAACTCTGTTTGTGGCAGTTCTGTTATTTTGACCAAAGAAAAATGAAAATTAAAGCAAGTGAACTGTTACAGGTAAATGGAGTAGGTCACATTTCTAGCAATTGAAGTAAAAAATGGTAACATTCTCGCCTAAATGTATGACGCTATCCAGCAAAGCACTAGTCCCAAAGTGTATCTCCTATCCCCTAAAAGGAAAAAAGCTGGTGTCTAGGTCAGGGTATAGGCTGTAAAAGAATTACTTCTGTGAAATGATGCCTTTAGTGTAAATTTTTAAATATACATCTTTCAAACCCGAAATAATTTATGCATGGAAGAATATGGCTGAGCCTCTTTGTACAGAAAAGTAAGAATTTATATGAGAATTTATAAAATATGAATTTGACAAAACAAACTGATAGGGCTCAGGCACAAAACATTGAATATAAAAGGATGGAGGACTGTATTTACAGTACTGACTTTAGATAATGCATACCAAATGAAATCCACATTTAACTAAAAATAATTAGAACTGCCTGATTAGAGTGGCAACTGGGCTTATGGAGGATCAAGTTACTTTACCTAAAAAGTTAAAAGATGTTAAACAATCAGGTAAAATGTCTATTAACAACAGAAACTGCGACATTGTTCAAAGCTTAACTGTTTCTCTTCCATCCGAAATACCTCTTCCTACATGCACTTGTTAAAATTCTAGCCAATCTTTCAGCACCATCTCGAGTGCCATGTTTCACATGAAAGATTTTCCTCATTTCACCTCGATGCCCAATTCTCCTGACTTCTCTCTTTATGGTAGTCCCAACTAAATACTTTATTTTATAGTTACTATATTCATTTTCCCTACTCAATAGTAAGTTCTATGGTGTAAATTATTAAGGTGCATTCATCTTTGTCTCTATTACATTGCCTAATTTAGTAGAGTTGTCTTAGAAAGATAAGGAAAAATAGATAAGTAATACCACTTAAAAGTATCAGGACTTAGGGCCATCCCTGCTGGTACAGCGAGTTAAAGCACAGCACTGCAAGCGAGCCACTACCTGCCAGCCACTTCACTGCCAGTTCGATCCCTGGCCCTGGAGGTGACCCACATGGCAAGACAGACCTCTCTTGTCTCAGCAGTGTACTTCATCAATCTGCCTGTTCTGTGCCCTGCTTTTGTCTCTAGTGAACCCTCTCATTGCCGCTGCACCTCTGACCTGTACCCCAATTCTGTATGCATAAATAAATAAATCCTTTAAAAAAAGTATCAGGACTTATATTTGCAGTTAGCACATTGGAAGTACTCAAAGGCTACATTTAAGAAACTTTGTAAAAGTCTGGACTATAATATTGCTGAACAAACTCTACAGATACAGGTTTTGTGGACTCCACCCCCACCCCAGACATGGGAACTACAAATCCCAGCATCACCAAAGAGAAGCATGCAGGTACCTGAGGGTGGAGTTAAGCAGCCAGGTTTGGATACAAAACCGGACATGTGGGCTTTGGGGCTTTCTTGGCTCTTCACCGGCTTTCAGTGTGCTAGTCAGGTTCCGAGTCAGCAGAACCGGTAGGATGCATTAACTTATCTTATGCTCTCTTTCCCTGCGTTACTCATTTCCCTTGTAAATAAACCCATTATTAACCTTTTTGTGTGTGCCTGCAGTTGAATCTTAAGTTGCCAGACCCACAGTCAGGCAACCCAATGTGAATTGGGTTACCCTTGTAACACAAGGACTATACAGAAAAGGTCATACAGAATACTGTAAAAAGTAGCTATTTCCTCTTTAAAAAAACAAAACTAAGGACATTAAGTTGTAAGAATTCACTTGTTATGTAAATTCTACATAAACATCTTGACTGAATATTTAATAGCAAAAAGCCAGCACTGACTTAAATTACTTTGATGAAGCAATCAGTAACTCTAGGACTACCAAAGAATTAAATATAAATGCAACCATAGTAGATTTATATACATACATCATCCTTCAGATTCCACATATAGAAGCAATAAAGAACAAAAATAACCAGATTAAAATATTCCAATTTATTCTCAGTGTGCTATGAAAAGAAAGCTCCAAGCTCCCACAACATTCCCTGTCTTCCAAGTACTCCCTGCTCTTACCCAAACTGCAAATGGCCTTAACTTACACAGATGTTAACGTAACAGTGTAGTCTAGGCTATTCTCTTACTTCCTTTTTTCTTTCTAAAACCAGGTTAGTTCATCAGAATAGACAATTTTCTACTCAGGGTTTTTTCCTGCTGCTTTGAGATGAGTTTTATTTGCAAGGAACTCTAAACAGATCTATCAAGGAAGCAAAATATAAGATCACACCCAATCTGCTGCACAGACTGGCCACACCAAGGTGATAGAAAACAGTACAGAGGACTTTGGCCTCTGAAGGGTAACTAAGGCCAAAGACCCCAGGTATGTTAAAAAGAAATGTGACAAAGTTTTTTTGCCTTCTACAAGTAGAAGGAAAAAAGATTCTGTATAGATGAAATACAAAAGAAAATTTGCAGCAATCTCCTACTAGTGAATTGGTAAAAACAGCAAACTTGAGTTTTGCTCTGCAAAAAGTTCAAAAGATATATTCCTATGAATTAACACTCTCTGGATTTGTTCTTTCCTTCCTTCCTGTGAAATTCAGATGGAGCCTAACGCTCTTAAACATTTCCCTTCTATTGCCTATCTGGTAGAGAATCTGGCAGTGTTAACTTGATGAGGGAAATCAGCAAAGCACGGTCTACGCTGCAGAAGTGTAAAGCAGTTAGATAATACACTTCACCAATTTCTCATATTGTACTACAAACAAGTTTCTGCACAAAACAACAAGAACTCATCGGTCCTTGGTCACTGTGCGGAGACAGGTGAACCAACTTGGAGAGCAGAGCATCACTGCAGGGGGAGGGATTCATCATTTCTGCAACAGCAAAACAATGAAATCAGCTCACTGGTTCACTCTCATGCCTCAGCACTGACATTTCATCCCAAGATTTTTTTTCTGCCTGTCTGAGTAATCCTCAGTAGCAGAGCTAGTTTGTAGACCATGACATCAGTGAGATCATATTTTATGGCATTATGAAGAGAAAAACTCATGAGAGCCTCACAGGCTTTGAGAGTGATGCAAAGCTTCTGCAGTGGGATGCTGAGTTCTCTGTCCTAAGGGACTTCACCAAGCGCTCATCTGTCACCAATTCCCAGAAAGAATCTTCCTAAAGCTGTGGAAGAGAGCATGTATACCATCCTGGGCTGATGCTAAGGGAAAAGGGTGTTTGCAGATGGGTAGTCAGCAAGTGAATTCTCCCCAAGGAGGCTGGGCACAGGACTCAGTTCCCATGAGTTCTTCCTCTGAAAGCACGCTGTTCTGCATGGGATCCTTCTTTATAATTCAGCTAGGCCCCCTGCCAGAGTTAAAACATGTTTGAAACTCTCTTTTTTGAGACTTCAAAGTTCAAAACTTAATGCTGAAGGCCTGGCATGCTATAGCCTTTACCCCATCACCACAGCTCCTTAGCAGTCGTCAGTAGAGAAGCGATCTGCTCACGACCCCTTGCAGTTTAAGTGGGATGGTTCAGTTCATGCCAACAGAAACAGGCACCTCACAAAGGCGCCTGAAGATGGGGAATCAATGCAAGAACCCTGGAAGAAGGTTATTACATACTCTGGTGCCAGAAATTTAAACTATAAAAAGACAATTAGTAGTAACTTAGAAAATGCCTTTCCAGCTCTTAAAAAACAGGAAACAAAGTTGCGTGTAGACTGTATTTTTAGCTACATTAA